AACTCTAACTAGCCAAAAATGGCAAATGCACCTATTATTTTTATCCCCAACTTATGTTTATCTCACTTATAAAAGCATAAAAAATATGGTGAATTTATTGGAAAATTTATTTTGAGTAAAGAGGGATAAAATGCGAAGCAACTTTGAAATATCCAAATACTTTTATCTATTATTAGGCAAAAAATATTAAAAATAATCTTACATAATCCGAATCGAATATGCAAATTTGAACTAAATAACAATTCAATTCAATGCAGAAACAACAGACAATTTGTTCATAAAAATACAATTCACTAGATGGAAAAAATAATTTTGTGTACACGAGAAAACCCTCTAGAAAACCAATCACATACCTTTCTTATTTATGTACCAATATTTAAACCCTAACCATTTTTTTACTATCTTGGTACAATAGGACAAATGCATTTATAGTATTTTTATTTTTTATCCCAATCTTCTATATATATAGATTGCAAAAGAAAAATAGTAAGGATCATTAGTTTGTCAGTGAGGAATAAATAATAAAAATAAAATATAGAAAAAATGGGGAGAGGAAAAATAGAGATAAAAAAGATTGAGAATATCAACAGCCGGCAAGTGACGTTCTCGAAAAGGCGCAGCGGATTGATAAAGAAAGCAAAAGAGTTGGCCGTACTGTGTGAGGCTCAGGTGGCCGTCATAATCTTTTCCGGCACCGGAAAACTCTACCAGTTTGCCAGCTCACGGTAAATAAATTATTAATATTGTTTTATTACAATTTTTTTTTTTGGATTTTTTTTTTTTAATTTTTGGGGTGTGACAATTAAATAAATAAAGTATTTGATATATGTGGGGGACTTCTTGTGTGATTTGATTTGAGATTTGTTTGCATCTAGTTAATTAAAATGTATATCTTTTTGGTTATTAAAAAAAAAAGGAATTACATATTTTATTTTATCAAAATGATCAGGAATTGGATTTAAATATAAAAATCTAATGTGATTTGGACATCGAAATATAAAATTATTATTATCTATTGCTTATAGAAAAGATTAATTTAATTGAAAAAAACACAAGAAAATATATTTTTTTTAAAGAAAAAAGAATAAAGATGGGCTGAGCAACTGAGCAAGAGATGTATTGTGCTGAATTGGGCCGGTTTGGGCCATAATAGCTGAAGATGTAAAAAATGTATAGAGCTGGGCTGACTAAAAAATGTACAAAAGTTGGGCCCATTTGGGTTAGCCTTTGGAAAAATTAAAAATCGAGAGGCAAGCAACTAAACGAGACGATAAATGAGCTCGAGTTCGACTTGTTTATGAATATTAACGAGTCGGGCTTGAGACTTATCGAGGTGAACTCTGACTCATTAACTAAACGAGCTCAAATTGAGCTCACGAACGACTCGTTTTTTTAGAGCTCTAAGCATAACTGCATAAAATTAATCAAATTTCTAACTGTATTCTATTATATACTTGTTCTGTTTTCTAGGAAGCTTGGTACTCATTCTATTTACACAATGACTATTATTTATATGTGACATCTTATATATTGCATAACATGTTTGAATTTGAATTGTGCCCTTTGAAGTTATTGATACTCCTATTTTATTATTATATATGTATAAATAACTACTGAGATAGAACTCTTTCTTCATTCATATTTTGAAGTTGCCTAAACAATAGTCACCTTTATTCCTCAGGTATCAAATTGCAATAACATTCATTTGTATATCCAAAAATATGTATATAATTTCATTGTTTATATATCCCACAAACAAAATGTGTCTAATTTTGTTTATATGTTATTTTTGCAGGATGGAGCAAATATTGGCAAGGTACAGTAACAGTAACAATCCTGAACTTGTTCCAGTTGAGCAGGCACAATTTCAAGTAATATTTTGTTTCTATGATAATTTTGGTTTAATTTATAAATTATATACATATATAATCACAATACAAATATTAATGAGGAAATTAATCCAATATGTCATTTGACCCTATATGTGAGGTGATATAAATGGCTTTTTTAACTTCATCTAGTAAAAGTTGGTTCTCTTGAATTGAACTTGAATGTAAATTAAATGTTTCGAAAAATTTTGATTTTAGTTTCTTATTTTTCGTCTCTTTTGTTCTCAGAAGAATGAATCGGCTGAGATAAATGACCTCAAGGATGAAATCGAAAGACTCAAATCGATGCAACGGTATGTTTTCACTTTTCAACAATATTTTATCAGATTTTAAAAATTTCAGCTTATTTTCTAGAATTACCCCAACATTTTAAAATTGAAGTGTCCAAAATTAATTAAAATTAGATAAAAAAAAATGATAGGATTTTTTATTTTTATTTTATTCAATACTTGATATTAAGGTAAATTAATTAATTTCTTATTTGCATGGTGAATATAAGCTGGATGTTGGGCAAGGAGCTTGAAGGGCTAAATTACAATGAACTGCACAACTTAGAGCAACAGCTTGCTGAAGGGATTATTTCAGTTAAGGACAAGAAAGTATGTTTTCTTTCTAAATAATCCAGATTTTTAACTTTTTAAGGGGCATTGCAATGGAATTCTTATCAAAATATATTTCCAAATAAATGAGTATTCAATATTCAAATTTGGAAAGTACTGTAAATAATTACTGCTAACTTATATTCTAAATTAACAAATTGATTTCAGGAGAAAGTTCTCTTGGAGCAGCTGGAGAAATCAAAACTAAAGGTTTATTTATTTAGTTTAATTTCTCTTACTTTAATGTCTTTTGCAAGTTAATTATTGATCTGGTGACCTGAATATAATCCTTTCTTTTTAACTTTTTAATTATTTAATTATTTATTACCATACCTAATTGCTGCCTAATTACTGTGCTAAGGTGTAATGTGATTTTCATTCTCTTTAATTTTTTTTTTTAGGAAAAGAGAGTTGTGCAGCAAAATGATACCCTTCTGGTAAAGGTAATTGCTAATTACTTGCAAAGCAAATAATTTTCATGATCATAAATCCATGATGAATTATGTTCATCAAGCAGCTGCTAATTAAATTGATTAGTTAATAATATTAGATTATATATAAGATATTGCAGCTAATATATTTTAATTTAAATTTGAAAAAGAAAATTGCAGATTGAAGAGCTTCGATACCAAGCGCGGCTGAGCAGTAATAACGAAAATGATACCTCTTTGCGTTTAGGGTAAGTTGCATTGTGACCCATGTTTAATGATATTAGCATTAGACCTTTTTTTTATATATATATTTTAGAAACAATATATTCGAATTATAATTATAAATATTTTATAGAATTTCTCCAGTCGATTTTTTCGGGAAGGCGAAAGTAGCCAAAACCGAGCCCGTGGATGACCGGAAAACCACCATGACGTTGGGTTGATTGATGGTTGTGCGTGCAGATATTCGACTACTTAAATTTTTTGATGAATTTGCTGCATTTTCCTCTCTTTCATGGTGTAAATGCGATAGATTTTTTTTAATCATGAATTTTGATGGGACTTGATGATCATCCGAGCTCATAACTAATTGTTTTATTAATTTTGGTTATTTGGGTACCTCATTTCCTAGAGACCAAGACTTTGTACCATTATTACATTCGATATGCGGATTTAGCTTATTTATTTGTTACCTCAGATAATTTCATGACCACCTAAATTGCTATAAACTTTGTTACTAACTGGGAAATTATCATCTCAATTTTCAGCCAAATCTCAGAAGAGTTTATGATTAAAAAAACTAGGAAATAAAGTCCATTTCGAGTTTATGATCAAACTTGAGCTCGGCTCGTTTATCACTGATAACGAGCCAAGTTCGAGGATCTCGAGCTTTAATGAATCAAACTATAGAAAATTATATAAAATTCTCTTTTCGAGCGTTATCGAGCCGAGCTGAGCACAACACGTTAATCATACGAGCTTTAAATAAACTCGAGCTCAGCCGAACTCGAGCCTTAGCAGCATGTTGTCGACCAGAACAAGAAGCTCAATCGAGCAAGAAAATGTTGTTTTGGGCAACGAGCTCGAGATTATGTAGAGGAAATGTAAGGAGCTTTTTGATTTTGTAATAATTTACGGTCATTTCACAACATTAGAGGAAAATATAAGCATATAATTTATTAATGTCATTCAAATAAATATCTTCACTACTAGAATCCATATAATGAAATTGAAGTAAAGTTGATTTAGTGATAAAGGTACATAAAATGGTTGATAAAGATACCATAAATTGGGTACAAAATATGAAGTTTAACTTCATCACATTCAACTATTCAAGCCAAAAAACCATTTCAATTGAGACACACAAATAACGATGTACTACTATAGAGCAGAATTTCATTCATAATGTCTTCAGTAGTGTTTGTGGATCCAAAGTATTTAGTATTTTGTGCATATACATATATTTACTAAGTACCGATTATCGAGGATCCAAAAACTTACGGAAAATTTGTCGGCCTTCATCTCTTTTATGTCATGAACAAGTCGCGAAATGGTTGAATATGGTCTCGAGAGTAGATTGGCCGATGCTATACTCGGATATACCAAGTGCATTCCTGCAAAATCCACAAATATTTTAGGCCAAATTATGCACAAGAACACAAAAAATTTAGAGAATTTACAAGATTTTATGTGTAGAAAGGCTTAGTAGCAAGCATTAACAAAAGCCCCAGTTTTCTTCCAAAATTGCAAAAATTTTATTATTTTGTTACTTTAATACACAAGTTGCACCCTAAACTCAAGGTATGGTATTTTTAATAGTTAGTGGGATACTTATGAATAATGATTCAGAAAATAACTGGGGTTCTCTGTAATTACGCAAAAAACTCGGGTAGAAATTTTGAAATTATCTCGTAGTAAAACGGATTTCACCTGTTCCTTTCCATGTGCCCAAAAACATCAGCAAGTGAAAGGTCTTCACTGTATGGCAGCTAAAAAGTAGACGAAATAATTAAGGTCATTAGAACTCGAAATCACCATAAATGGTATTAACCCTTAACGAACGAATGAGGAGCGAAATTAAAATTACCAAAAAGAATTAATAATAATAAATTGACAAAACTGCATTTTTAGCTAACGTCATAGCAATTTTAGTATTGAAATATTTTCCTGCAATTTCACCCCTTTGAGGATTGAAATTGCAACAAGATTTAAAATTGTAGGACTTAAATTGCTAATCGAAAATTGAAGAATTTGTTGCAATTTGAGGACTGAAATTGCAGCAAAATATTAAATTAGGGGACCAAAAATCGAAATGTTGGAAGCTTGGGACTAAAATTGCTATGGTGTTAAAAGCCAAAAATGCAATTTTGCCGAATAAATTCAACATGCGAATATGAACTACCTGATATTTAACGCTCAACCCATCACAGCCTTGATATGTAGCGCCGGGAAAAGAAGATTGAATAAACGAATGAATTGCTGCAAATTTTTCTTCGGTTAACCACCATTCTGCAAATACTGGCAACTGAATACCACCTAATAACACACCACAAATAATAGATTAAAAAGTTGATATTCGTAATAAAATTAAAATCTGACAGAAAAAAATAAATCAATACCATCTCGAATTAGCTGCTCTGAAAGCTTGTCGCCAAATGCCCCACAGGTATCGGTTTTCGAGGATAAAAGATTCTCCACTCTTTCTTCACTGCCGAGCCACCGCCCAATCGTAAAAAGAATATCGCTCGACAAGTTAATCTCCACCGCTTTTTCGGCTAATGTGCTGCCACCTATGCAAATTTCCAGGTCATTTAGAATGCTTCGCGGTTGACGAGGAATCTCGAAGAATCTCTCCTGGATAGTCTCACACATTGCTTCTAAATCCAACAAGCTTACTTCATTAGGCTTGACCTGGAAAAAAGTAAAATCAAAATTAGGAAAAATGCTCGTATTTAGTTCTCGATCAAAACTACAGGTGCCTTCTTGATTGAAAAGTAATTGTTTGTCTAACTATATCGGCAAAATTACATTTTTATTGCATTACTAGTCCTGCTGGTTTAATGGAATAACAATTTTAGTGCCAAGGTTCCAACATTTCGCTTTTTGGTCATGTAAATATATTTTGCTTCAGTCATTTGAGCATTTGAAATTGCAACAAAATCTCAAATTCTCATATTTTCAATTAGCAATTTAAGTCATGTAATTTAAAATTTGGGTATATAATTTTTTCCAATTTGTACACTATACGTGCTTTTGGGATTTTCAACCTAACATATACAGACACTATTTGCACGCTTGACCACATCCTGTCCTTTTTTGCGGATGATCGGACGGTCAAAAAGTAGTTGAGCGTGCAAATAATTGTATATATGTAGTTCAGGTTGCATTTTAAAAAAAAAAATATTTAGGTTGAAAATCGCAAAAGCACGTATAGTATAGTACAGGTTGGAAAAAAATATTTACCTTTATTTTGTTGCAATGTCAGTCTAAAACTGAAATTGCAGCAAATTTGGACTAAAATTACAGTAAGCAAATACTAAATAACAGCCGAAAAGTTGAAAACTTGAGACTAAAATTGATATGACGTTAAACCAACAAACTAAAAATGCATTTTTGCCAATTATATCCCACTAAATAAATTTTATTAAGATATATACGGGCAAAAAATTTACTTCTAGCTCAAGATGGTTGCCGAATCTGTTTTTCAGATGCTGAGGACTTCCGATGCATCTTAGCTTTCCTCCAACCTACAAATGCGTTCAAGTTACGAGCATAAAGAACTATTTTCGTATTTTTCCGAAGCAAAAATTTACAGACTGGATTTTTGTCGAGCAAAACAAACCATTATCCCAATCCTGGTGCAGAGGGCCTGAGCTTCGTTCATGCTGTGGGTTGTTAGAATAACAGCCGTTTTTCCTCTTCGGGTAGATAAACGTGATATTACTTCCCACATGAATCTTTTTGCAATAGGATCCATTCCTAAAGCACCAAAATATGACATAACTATATAAGTATCAAATGTAACAATGTGCTCGGTTTTGGATTTCATAAGGTAAGCTAAAAGTACCAGTGGATGGCTCGTCAAGAATGACAAGTGGAGGATCACCAATCATTGCAATGGCAACGGATAATTTACGCTTATTGCCCCCACTTAGTGCGTAAGATGGTTTATTAGCGTGTTTCAACAAGTCAAACTCGACTAGCTTTTCCATGACAACCTACATTTTTTATTTTTATTTTTCAGAATCATCTTGTATTTATTTATAAAAAACGAACAATTACAAGTAATTGATGGGAAAATGTACAAGGAAAAGAGTTTTACATGTTCAAGCTGATATTCTTGGACTCCTTTAATTCTAGCATAGAGCTCAAGATGTTCCCGAACAGTGAGGTATTCGAGTAAGGCATCAAATTGAGGGCAATACCCAATCTAACGGGCAAAAACAATACGAAACAAATCGGGTAGAGACAATTTTGATAAATTTCAAGGGAAAAAATATAAGCCAAACCGAAATAGAAAGGGCAAACCAGATGTAAATCGAGACTTACATGCTGACGAGCAGCCTTTGGGTTCGATTTGATGTCTTTACCAAAAATGTATGCAGTTCCATCACTTGGGCGCTCTTCTCCTTAATCAGCAATTGTAAGATAAATATTAGCGGAGTTTCGTTTTCTTTTAATTGTACTTGTGTGTGTGTGTGTATTCAATAAAAAATTAAGGCAAAATTGCATATAAAGACACAAAATGGTTTTGCAATTTAATCACCACTTTTTGCTACCTTTTGCTATTTGCGTGTAAATCACCAACTTTTATATGTTTTGCAGATCGAAGCATAAATTTAACTAAGCTGACTTAGAAAAGTTAATATGATGCTTCGATCTGCAAAACATATAAAGTTGGTGATTTAAACGCAAATACCAAAAGATGGTGATTAAATTTCCAAAAAATTAAAGGTGGTGCCTTTATACGCAATTTTGCCAAAAATTAACAAGCAGTTTTACCAGACAGCATTGATAGAGTAGTCGTTTTTCCCGCTCCATTTGTTCCAAGAAAACCGAAGCATTCTCCTTCTTGAACCGAGAAAGTCAGCGATTGAACCGCAACTTTGGAACCAATTTGCTTCCCACCTGGAAAAACCTGAAAACCGAAACATTTGACTTTTAACAAATTACCGAAAAAGTTGAAACTCAAAAAAATGTGCCACATTGCGTACCTTTCGAAGATTATTCAGGTACAAAATTGCACTGCCAACTCCACCTGATATTACTCGGTTTCTTTCCGCTTGCACGTCAATATCCTCTTCAAGATCGGCATTTCGAGAGGATGTACTAACAAGAGGCTCTAAAGAGCTACTGGAAAGTGGGTGGCAAAGTTTTTTACTTTCACTCGTCAAGAATTTGAAAAACCTCGCAAAATTTATCTTGTACGGCAGAAGAAATTCTAAAGCAAGTGTCACGAGAAAGTAGATCATGCCCTGCACCAGTTAAAAAGTAGTTAATCGACATTTGTTAAAAAGAACAATTTGCATTTTCATAGTATAATATAAATATATAATATGCTTCTACTGAAATGCAACACATTTGGCATATTTGAGTTTGTTATTTCTATAAGCTAAATATTAATAAACGGAAAATGAAAAATAAAAAAGTCCTGCAAGTGCACCATTATATCAAAAATTTCAAAGGAGCTATACGAGTATATGATATTTCTAAAGGAAAAAAAAAAAAAAATCGTGCAAGTGCACCAGATTATGATGAAGTTGAATTAATCGTGAGAGATTTAGAAAAGCACCTCAGCTGCCAGATAACAGATAGAGGCACCAGTGACATTCCAATCAAAAACACTATCACCCGATCCCTTTTTCATCCCCTGTCGCAAAAGAGCTAATGAAGCTAATCCATCGGCAAAGCAAAATCCAGGTGATAACCTGAAAAAGTTCTGAACAAAAACAGCACGTGGTTTAGTAAAAAATAAAAATCCAGTAATCCATTCATCATAATCTTAATAATGGAAGCAATACAATCGAGATGTGCTGAATAAAAGAACTTTGCACGCAAATTGTCACCATTTACCATGGCAAGAATAAATTTAATAATTTATAAAACAAATATGCGACCTTCAGAAGAGAATTGGCTTTTCTTGTTGACTCGAGAAGTCCCATTATGAAGGATATAACCATAAGAATTAGCCCGGTGAAAAAGTGGATTAAGAGGACAACATTCTGCAGGTATTTAAGAGAATTCAGTGCTTGAACATGAATAAATGCCTAATATTAAAAAAAAAAGAAAAAAAAAGGTTTTTGAATCGAAACCTGTGCCATGCTATGTTCAGAAAAGAAAAATGTGAGGCAATAAGTAGATGATGCTATTGATAATCCATATCCCAAAAACATGAGGACAGTTGAGAAAAAAGAATCTCTCCCAATGAATTGATCCAGGCCTGCACACCAATGAATGTAGAGAAGATATAATAACAATTTTTTTTTATTTTTTTTCAAAAATACTATTGCTTCACATAGATATAATTAAAAATACCGAAAACTGAGAAGGGGTGGCAAAAACACTGAGAACATACCAAATATGAAAAAGAGGACAATTGCAAAAGATGTAGAAAATAAGAAGCTGATGAAGTCCCAAATGTATGTTGAAGCCCAATATGACACAATGGAAACCTACAAAGAGGATTGAATATAAAGAGCATAAAGACTGCTAACTCTAAGAACCTTAAAAGAAACTTATGGGTTTAAATGCATCAAAGAAAAAAAAAATCATACCCCACTTATAAGTTGTTGATGCTTAGCTTTTACTTCACATTCCTGCATCAAGATTTGCTGATAAATTAAACAGACTACCATAACATGGGGAATATACAATATATTATTATAAATTCAAGAAATGAAATCAAGTTGAATTAATGTATTATCAATTATAGAACTGAATCATTGATCATTCACTATTTTAGTTGGGGCTGGAAGATGGGTTGGAAATGAACAGAAAAAAAATAAAAAAAAATAAAAAAAATTGGCAATTTACTTTTTCATAAAGTAGTCCTCGAATAGATGCTAAGTGAAAATAAATACCATTTTCAGTTCGACAATAAGCAAATTATCGCCAAAATACTAAAGAAGTTAGACTTCTAATTGCAAATGACGATCGAATTTATTTACCTTCACAATAGCCACAGCGAATGAAGCAGGTATGAACGAGAATGCAATTGTAACAACAACAGCAACTTTAAAGGCATCCAGATCCTACACATAAGGGAAAAAATAAAAAAGAAAAACGAGAAAATGAGATGCAGATCTTCGTGAGAAATAAAAAAACAAGAGAGGCATCTTAGAAATAAGATTAATTAGTATTTATTCACCAAGTAGAAACACCAAAATCGTATCCAGATAATCCTGAAAGTCGGTTTTAACAATGAGGAATAACTGTTTCCCAGTAAAAAGTTCCAAAAAGTAAAATTGATATACTTAACGAAAAAACTCTAGCTTACATGACGTTGCTGGAGCTGAGTCTTGGTCATTGGCAATGGGTGATTACGCGTTAGAATCGTCATATTCTCATTACGAGTAGCGAGCCTGAGTATTGCTGAATTCATCAAATTAATAAAAGTAGGGGCAGCATGCTGACATGAACTGTTGTGAAGAATAGTATAACCGAGACTCCCATCTTTGCCCTGTTTATCCATAACAACGGCTCCATACCTGCACAGATATAATATGCACATGAGATTATTTTCACACACACACAAACGAAAAGAAAGAAGAAAATCAAGTACTCTGAGATTTTTGGCATAAAATATGAAATGGACCCCAGTTTACGAATCGTTTTGAAATGTACAAGCTCTCAAGGTTACTTCAAACAAAAGGCGAGTTCATGTCATTTGCTCTGGGTATGTCCCATTTTAATTTCTCACTGGTTGGTACTAAAGGTAAATATACGATTATATACATAAAAAATTCATAAAAAGTAAACATTAATCTAAATACCTCGACTGATAAGATTCGTTGTAGCTAGACATGAGATATTGACTCATCGAAAGTAAAGTGGGGCCCAAAGTTGGCCCAGCAGCTTCAATAGCATCACTTAATGCCTTCTTGGAATCAGGGAACTCATATGTAGTTTCTCTAAATCTCTGAATCCAGCCTCCATGCACATGCTCTGAAACCTATTGCATGCAAAACACATCCATGTATGATAAAATATTTCTACACAGGGGAAAACACACACATACGCGCGCACCCAAACACACACACGCACACATGTATGTATATATATATATATATATATATATATATATATATAAAAACAATTTTATTATAATTATAAAGATAAATTTAATTTATTTTTTTTATACATACAATATGGATGCTAAATCGAAACTCGTGAAGAGATGATTAATTTGATACATTATATATGTGAAATTGAAAAAAAAAAAAGTTATTAACATTTAAAATCCATTTACAATTCAATTGTTATAATAGGGAATAATATTAAAATGCAATTAATACAACTAAAATGACCATAAATAATCAACATATTTATAGATAATCCAAACCTAATTATTTTTGGATTTGAAAGTAAATTAAAACTATCCAAGTCAAATAACGAAGCATGAAAGCATGCGAGCCTGCCACTTAGTCTCAACACATTCTAGAATTATATATAGGGGATAGCAAGAGAGAGAAAGAAAGATACCTCTTTTGCAATGGGCAATGACAAATCGAATGGGATGGGGCCCCCACCACCTCCACCGGTCAACAGAGGATTGAAGTGTGAGGTTGTGAAGGTCACTGATTCTTGATCAGGATGTGGCTTAAGTTGAATCATAAGAAGACCCAAAAGCAAGAACACGACAGGAATCACAAGCTGAAAAACAATCGTCTTCCGATCTCGTCGAGCCGAAACTGCTCTCTTTATCAGTAAAGCTTTCGAGTGTCTCCAAAAAGTCGAGCTTGCAAATATACAAGAACAACAACACCACTGCATGCTCAGGAACTGTATTATGCGTAGTGTGGCTTCCAAAAACAGACCACCAGCTTTCGCCATCGCGTTGAATACAAAACGAACGAGCTCTATATAGTTTTTACATATTTTTGAATGAAAGAATCTTCCAGAAGCATTATTTTGGTTAGGTAGGTTGTCATCTGAATTAGGTGTTATTATTACAGGCCTCTCGTTGTCAACAGGAATCTCATCTTCTTCATCAAAATCACCCCCCGAAACTTTAAGGAAAACTTCCTCCAGAGTTGTGATGGAAATACCGTAACTCTCAATGCCAAAGTTAGTATGGTCCTGAATCTCAAAGCTCGGTTTTGATCTTTGCATGCAACTCTCTATTTCTCGAAACATTTTCTCGAAGGCTGAAGAGGATGCAAGCGGAAGCTTGAACGATATTTCATTACCAACCTGTATAGTCACACGAAAAGTCC